CCCCAAAACCCCAAAACCCCAAAACCCCAAAACCCCAAACAAGCTCTCACGTATAGAATATTCGATGAAAAATATTAACTCTTACCATTTTATTTACATAACACCCCAATGGAACATACAGAACCTATACAAATGCTTTGCGCCCTCAATACCGACAGTAAGCGGGTTTTATAGAATTCTATTCATATTTCTGAAGCGCTCAAGCGGGATTTGGGAATTTTTAAGCGTAATATGTGGGGGAAATATGGTGTTTAGAGGATAATGGAGACCAATGAGGGAGAACGAAGAGAAAAGAGCTCTCAGATTGAAGAGATGTAGTTGAAGTGTTGGAAGAGATGCTTGGGCAAACTTCTGTAGAGGTTATTAGGGATTCGTTGATCAATTGATACAGATTGTGTAAGAAAATCTTGTTTATTGGCAAAAATCTTGATAAAAGCTTATGCTTATTTCTTATTTTAGGAGCAGTTATGAGGATTAATAATAATTCAGAGTACGTAAGAGTTTTAAACTAACAAATTAAGACGGATTATACTCTAATTAAAAATATTTTTGGAACAAAGAAAAAATCTGATTGCTTCATCTTTAGAAATGACTTTTCTTCTTGACTTAGAATTGGGGCAACACATTCAGTTTTGAGGAATTCAATTAAGGTGACTGGATGGAAAAGGAAGGATAGGCAAAGAAGGCAACGAATACAGCAAGAAGAAATGGCGACTGAACCATCTGAGACATCCGAGACACCTGGATCATTACAATTTTCTGAAGGATCTCAAACATCTGAGGCTTCCCAATCAGTCAGCGAAAATATTAGAGATGGTAAGAGAATAAAAATAATTGTTTTAGAACTTCCTGACGATAAGAAGCTATATATCGTCAACGATTTCAATTATATAGAAGAAATTGGCTGAATTACACCAGATGAGTGAAACAAAATAGAAGAACTATTTAGCGCCGTTAATCAGCTAGATCATACTAAATTCTCTCTATTCTGCAAGGATCAATTTAATGATGTCTATAACACATGAGGTTTTGTTACTCCTATCAGCAAAGAGAAATAAAAGTAGATTTTTTAGATTTAGAAATCCTTGAGGATCAGGAGATAAGAGTGAAACAAAATGAATGAAGCTTCAAAAGGTATACATGAGTATCCAGATTAATAATTATGACTTAAGCAGCAAATAAATCAGCTTCTCGCGTTTTCATTAATGAGAATGATGAGTTTTACAAAATTGGTTGTCAAAGAGTATATGAATCAGTACTTCTCTTAACTCGCATGCGTAGGTCAATCAAATTCATGCTGTCAGAATCCTCAGAAGAAGAACTAAACCCTTTCTTTGACTTGGATACGCTTGCAAAGCTAACTATTTAAGTTTGATAATGTTTTATCTAATTAAATCCAAACCCTTAATTTTGTGCTCTACTTGTAGAGAACTCTGATTGGCTGCTCACAATTTCATTGGCAAATTTTCTGGAAAATACGATTTCCTGAATTAAAAATATTAAAAAAAGATTGAAAGCTCTGAAAGAATTAGCTGAAAAGAATTATGGGAGAGGGGAAAAGCAGATTTAGGGGTATGCTAGCATGAATAGGATTTTAAAGGTTTATAAAGCCTTGTAGTATCTCCAAAAGTCATAAATATATAAGCATTGGGGAAAAATTGATTTAATATTGATAAAACTTCAATTCTGATTAAATGTCAGAAGAGAACATGAAAAGAAGAATGCTTTAGTTAATATTGTTATCGAAATAGGTCAGTTAAAAAGGCTGATAAATCTTAAAGTTCAGTTTACATAATGTAAATTTCAGAATTCTTAAAGCAATAATAAAACAAGAAATTTTTAATTAAGAAGAAGTCTTGATTCTCAATTTGAATTTCAAACCTTCATAACTACCAACTGCAATCTGAATTCATAATTTCGTATAAAATTTTATTCTATTTATATTATAAGTCAGATTTATCAATTCTTAAATACCATCCGGGGTTTTGGGGTTTTGGGGTTTTGGGGTTTTGGGGTTTTGGGG